AAATCAGAATAAATGTATTTCTATTTACTAGTGTGAAATAAATATATTAGAATTTATAATAAATCAGAATTAAAAATAAGAAAAGAAAATATCGGGTAACCTTGTAGAAACATCAAAATGCATAATAAATCAGTAAATCGTCATTTACTAATTTGTTATTGATGTTAGTTTCTTAGCTTTATATAATGGTTGGGAATAAGATAATAGTCTAGAAATATGTATTAATGCTTCTTTTATCATTGGACAATATATTATTGCATATTTCCACATATTTCATAATATTTATACAATGTCTCTAATTTTTACAATATTTCCCCTTGACATTTCCGACATATGTCCTATATTTTGGTAAGTGACATTTCCATCGGCATCGACATTTTAAACCTTGATGGGCCTAAGGCCCAATAACTCCCTAACTATGCTATGTAAATAAAAAAAAGTTATATCAGCCCAAAACTCAACAGTAGCATTAACTTTCGGGCTAACTCTACGCCTATATGCAAACTTTGAAAAAACCCAAGTAGATCATCTTTAATCATGTCTCAATATTTTATAGCAACATGGGAGGCAGGAAAAATGCTTCTATCAATTTCAACAACATGTCGATTTTTTCCTTTTAGCTACTCCATTTTGTTGAAGGGTGTGAGGACATGAGCTTTGATGAATAACTCCAAAGTCAGAAAGATAGGTAAAGAGATCCTTCTTAAAGTACTCCTTAGCATTATCAGATTGGAATACTTTGATGCGAGTTTTAAACTCAATGAGAACAAGTTAATTGTCTCATTAACTTTGGGACCTCATCATGAGAATGCATCAAGTAAATCCATGTATATCTGGAAAAATCATCAATAAATAAAATGAAGTATTTATAACCCCAATAGAAGGTATATGTTATAGCCCCCGCACATTAGAGTGCACGATATCAAAAGGAAATTTGGATCTTTTATTACTTAAGGGATAAGAATTTCTACAATGCTTTGGCAACTAACATGACTCATATTGTAGACTAGAAAGACTAACACTGTAACAACTTAGGGAATAAAGGATGCAAAGAAAAGGATAGATGACCCAAATGAAAATGACATAACATAATTTAATGAAAAGACTCAAACACTGTTGACTCCAAAGCCATCCTTTGTGATGATTACTGGTTCTTTTCATGCACATCAAGTAGGTACATCCTATTGGCCTCATGGCCACTTCTGATCACCTTTGAAACTTCAGGTCCTAGAAAACACAATGTGTGGAAAAGAAGGTTATAGAAAAATTCAATGATTTAGTCAAACTACTAACATAAAGAAGGTTGGTATTAAGCTTAGGTACATGGAGGACATAGGGTAGGGTAGGGTAAGGGTCTTGATGGCTCTAATGTCTCCCTTTCTAGAAATAGGAGCTAGAGAGCCATTGGAAAGGGAAATCTTGTCTCGATCAAGTAATAGCTATAAAGAACAAAAAAGGTTAGGTATACTAGTCATGTGATTGGATGCACCAGAATCAATAGTCCAAGGGATACAATGATTACCTGAAAGGATGCATGATTAACAATTGCACGAGTACCTAGGTGGGTAAAGGCTGTGGATGCTGAATTGCCTGTAGAGTTGAAGCTAACTTCTCTTTCCAAGTGATTCAAAAGTTTCCCATACTTCTCAAATTCAGTTCTCACAACTGCTAATTGCTCCACAGTGGACTTCTCCTCACTGGACCTCTTCTCACTATCTGGTATAGTGGCTGCATTAATATTTCCCCCTTCTTGTTATTTTTGAACCTCCTTGGCATCAAATGAGGATGTAGTTCCCAGCAGGTATCTCTAGTATGCTTAGGCTTCTTGCAGTAATCACATTTGACTGCCTTCTCCTTATCCACACTACCCTTTGGCTTCACTCCAGCATTAGAAAAATGATTAGTAGTAGAATTCTAAAGATGTACCTATCTTCTACTCTCCTCACTACTCACCAAAGAATATGCCTTAGACAATGTAATATCATCATTGGAGAGTATATTTTGTCTTGTGATGTCATATTCCAAGTTAACTCCTATAAGGAACTCAAACACCTTGTTTCTCTTCACCAACATTCTATATGTTTCAGCATCCTTGGTGCTCTCCCACACAATAGTTTCAAGTAGATCACTCTCTTGCCATAAAGACTTCAACATAGAGTACTGTACTACTAGAGGCCTCTCCCCCTGTCTTAAATTATTGATTTCATTTTTCAGCTTGTATGCCCTTGCAACATTCATCTTCTGAGAATATGTTTTAGCCACACTATCCCATATTTCCTTGCCTCTACTGCACACATGAATCTTCACAGATTGTGACCAAGCAAATAGTTGGTGCCATACCGCCATCTAGCTTCACTGTGGTCATATCACCCAACATGGATTCAATAGACCCTCCTGGACTACTTCCAGGTTCACCATTCTGCTTTATGTCAACTCCAGATGTCTCCATTGATCAAATGAAAACAAATGAAAAATAATTTTTACTTCAAATAAGATCTCCCAACATCCAGGAAGGGAAAAAAACAAAGAGATAGAATTTGACACTACCTGACAACCCAGAAGAAACTGAGAAAACTCAGTTGCTCCTACCAGCGATGGCAGAAAACTCTCCAACCAGGATCAATCTCACTAAGGGCCTCTAAGATGTCCTTCACACCCTGAGCGCCACTCTGGAAGGATCCCCTTGACCCTTTAACTTCAATTCTTCTCTAGTCGGCTAGGGTTTTTGGGCCAACTCTCCAAAACACTTCTTGGGCATCAAAAACTGATCTGAAAATCTCCAAAAACCTCCCACCAACTAGGCTGAATGAATCATTAATCAACTACCACCTTAGTTCTCCATACACATTGTGTATGGGATTAAAGAAAGAAAAAAAAAAGTAGGGTTGCTTTGCTCTGATACCAAGCTGACAATTAATGATGTAAAACAGTATATTTAATCAAAGAAAAAAAACAGTTGAAAATAGATCTGAAACAGCAAGGAAGAAGGGAGAAGAGAGGAGAAGAAAGGAAGAAGATTTTGGAAGCAGAGATCGTGACTTTCTCCCAGCCCTTTCTCTTTTATTAGATCAATCATAATTAAAGTGGAGATTACATGAATGCCCCTAGTAGGGTTTCTGTCGATAACAATAAAAGAAACAAGTAATAAAAGCAATAAAAGGGACCTTAGGCCCATAATAACTAATTCCCACAATAACAAAAATAAATAAATAAAGAGAGGTACAACTAGGGAGCTGTCCATCCCAATATCTCAACAGATCTCATAATCATTCTTAGTCCTATGAGTATATTAAAGTGGAGGGACACCAAAACAGGATAAAAAATACAATTTTGTTTGACAAATGTGAAAGTGTGCAAATTCAGAGTAATTAGTATAATTCCTTCTTCTGGACTTCTTTGTGTATGTAATATGGAAATGATATTGCTATAATTGTGTTTTGTGTTTTCATTTATGTCAGTGAAATATTTTTTACATGTTTTTCAATTAAAAGAATTACTTATTTATTCAAAGAACTGTAGAAGTATAGAAATTTTTATGCTTCAAAATTATGATGACCATAATATGATAACCCATCTATAAATGTTATAGATGAAGGCAGGGATTTGAAATTGGTGGATGCTCCTGTCTCTGGTGGTGTTAAGAGAGCAGCAATGGGATCACTTACGGTATGGAAGTTGAACTTTATTTGTTTGCAGTTCACAAATTCCTACTTCTAACGTATCTATTAATTTTTATTTTCTACAAAAATAGTGATTCTCTATGTTTTCTCCACATTCTTTTAATAGATTAGATCTGGTTTCATAATTAATCTTTTACTTCTTTCCCATTAAGATTATGGCATCAGGTTCAGATGAAGCTCTCAAGTCTGCTGGTTCTGTACTCTCAGGTAATGAGCCTATGGGTGAAGTTGATTATTCTTGGATCACATGAATTGTGGAAGTCTATGATGCTTATTCTTTAAATTTGCGTATGAACAGCCATGAGTAAGGAGCTTTATATTATTAGTGGTGGTTGTGGGGCTGGAAGGTATTCAGAGATGGTCTTTTTTAGCATTTGTTTCTTTCTTCTTCTACTAGGACACTGGATCTTTGCAATGTGAATTCCATGCACATGCTGACACATGGGCATTGCACGTCCATGCAAATCAGTTAGCTGTGTCATTTGCAATATATTGGTTCAGTTTAGAGATTCTTTTGTTTTTCATTGATTTCTTTTGAGAGGGTGCATCTTATGAACCTTTTCTAGAATGTTCTACTTTGCAGTTGTTTAAAGATGGTTAATCAACTGCTTGCTGGAGTACATATAGCATCAGCAGCTGAGGCAATGGCATTTGGGGCTCGGTTGGGTCTAAATACAAGATTGTTGTTTGAGTTCATTACAAATAGTGGAGGAACATCGTGGTATGTCATACAATCTTCAATGTACTTTTTGAAATGTCTATTTGAATATAACAATCAATTATAGACGAAGCCTTATCTTTTTCTATTTAGGGTTGGTTAGATGCATCCCATTATTACTCCACTCTATTTAGGGCAATATCTTCTGCTTAAGTGTAAGTCACATGATTTTTAGTTTTTTACTACCTCAGCAGCTCAATTCACAGCTTTTAGGCTCCCCCTTGATTTTTAAGCACCAATGTCTCCTAATTGGTGAAATTGTTTCCTTTTGTTGCTCATGGCAAAATCATCTAAGTCCATTTTCCTCATCACATGACTTTTTATACTTTTAGGATAGTTTTAACTTCCAAGTTCCTTAAATTCATTTCTTTTTAATATATTCATCCCCAGACTTGCCACCCATTGAACTCGAGATTCTGGTTTGTAATATGGACTACACCATTCTATAATTTATTTTCTGTGTTTGTTCCACAGTGCATTGCTTATAGCTTGAGGGTTAAATGTGGTAGTCTCCCATTTGTTTGTGGCTTAGGGAATTGAGGTTGTTCTGGAAAAACAGGAGCCTATATAAACCAACTAGGTCACATCCTGGTAGCTTACTTGGGTCTAATTGGTGGTGGAACTTCAATTCAGGACAAGCTGTATTCCTTGCTTCAGGAGATAAGATTGACCACTGCTAATTGAAATCAGGAAATTGGAGACTCTAAAGTGGTAATAAGATAGAGAATAGAATTCCCTTTTTTTGAAGAATAAAGATAAAAATTCATTAAAAAAAGAAAAGAAATACAACAAAAAAGGTGATGAGACATCACTTGAAGAAGAAGCACAACCAAAGGACCTAGCAATCAGACCTCAATGTCATGTGAATCAATACAAGGTCACGTAGGTCGTATTAAGGACTGTGATTCACATCTACTATCGTCTATCTCGGACCAGTTAACTTGCTTGAAGTCTTCGTCTTGCCCAAATGGAGTTTCCAGTGAAGCACAAACCTTCAACGTTGATTTTCTTAATGGCAGGAAGGAAAATCAGAAGGGTAAAGTAGACAAGAGAAAGCTTTTAGATCTTAATAGACCAAATTTTAAAATAAGTGAAATGTTAGGAGGGAGTGTCTTGACTGAGGTTAGAAAGAGAAAGGGAGAAAGGTGGATTTCGGTGATTGCCAAGTATGATAAAAGCGGTAAGAAGAGGATTGTTTGTGGAACAAGAGAAAATCTTGTTGATTGCCTGTCTTCTTCTGTGAATGGCTCTACTGGACATTGCTCTCAGGTTGGGGTGATGAGGAGTTTACTAGAAGGGCCTTTGAGGAGTTTGAAAGGAGAAGAAGGGAAGAGAAGTTGAATAAAAAAGTTCTTCAGGAAGGAGGCAAGGTATTGGACGTGGATGATTCAAGCTAGGAGGATGCTCTCATTGATGAAGATTAAACTAGAGAATTGAATTCCCTAGCCCTTCATTGCATCTCCATGCTATTAGAAAGGCTAGATTTTTGGCATCCAGGCTGAAGCTGCTGAACAACTCATTTTAGTAGATCCAAAACTAGAGAAGGGTTGCATGGAGATGAGTTGTGGGTCCTGCCCAAGGGTTCCATGGAGATGGTTTCTCTTATCTAGCAACAGTTCTTGTAGTTTTTTTCTAATTCAATAGAATTTTCTTTCATAGTAATTGAAAGATGCATTGTCTATAGCTTTCCTGTAAAACTTTTCCTTACAAGTTTGCTATGAATATATTACACAACACTTGGGGCTTCCTGTAGGGCAGAGGTGTATCTCTAATGTTGTGTGGGATCCCATTTTAGAAAGAGTTGAAAAGATATTGGTTTCATGGAAGCTGTGATACCTATCAAAAGGGGGATAAATCACTTTATTGAACAATATACTTGCAGCATTCCCACTTAATTTCTATCTCTCTTCCCTATCCCAGATCAGGTGGCAGCAAAGCTGGAAAGGATGATTAGAGACTTGCTTTGGAGAGATTGGAGGGAGGAGGAGAAAATCCATTTGGTGAACTTGAACATGGTATGCTCTCTCTCCCAAGGCATGGAGAGGATTGGGGGTGAGAATGCTGAGACTGATTAATGAATCCCTGCTAGGAAAATGGTTTTGGCACTTCAATGAGCAACCTGGAAGTTTGTGGAGTGGGATCTGGGCATCGCTAGAGAATCTTATGGGTGTATGGAAAGGGGTAGAAAAAATTTACAACCAGTTTGCTGCAACTATAAGGTATAAAGTGGGTAATATGCAGAGAGTCAGATTTTGGAGGGATATTTGGTGCCCTCACAGGCCACTCATGGATTTGTTCCCTTGATCCCTGCTCTATTTTTGGTTTCTAGGGACAGAAACTCACTAGTGGCTGATTGCTTTCAGGTGGCCAATTGTTAGGTGGTTTGGAATCCTGTTTTTAGAAGAAACCTTAATGGTTGGGGTTGAACAATTGGTGCAGCTGCATCATTTGCTTCTAAGTGCAGAAATTGATGCAAATAAGGTAGATAAGAGGATATGGAAATTCGGTTCTTCAGGATTTTTCCTACTCAAGTCTCTCTATATGCACTTGCTTAGGAAACCAACCTCTCCTTTCCCTAGTTCCAAGGTGTGGCTCCCTTGTATTTCATCAAAGGTGGCTTGTTTGGTATGGTGCTGTGTTAGACAAGTGTTTGACATGGAACAGCTTGATGAAGAGAGGAATATATCTGGACTCAGTGTCTTGTGTCTTTTGCCAGAAGGGTGTGGGGACTGCTAACCACTTATTTCTGCACTGTCAATTGCCTTATGTTCTTTGGAGCATATTTCAGAGATGCTTTGGGGTAATGAGATGTTTACCAGCAACAGTATCAGATATTATTTGGAGCTGGAACCTGATTGGATTAAACAAGAAGGGGCGAATCATAAGGGATTCCATACTAGCTGTGATTATTTGGAATATATGGAAGGAAAGAAAGAATCGAATTTTTAACCAAGTTCAGGCATTCAGAGGAGACAACCAGTAGAGTCTGTAGCACACTATATCTCTGGCTGTGTATCCTCCCAATATTTAAGGAATTTTCTTTCTCAAAATTTCTCAATCATTTTTTTTGTAATGATTATGGGTGCACAGGCTCAGGTACATAATGTTGTGCATAGGGGCTAAACGTTGCAATTTTTTGTGGTTTGCGGTTTCTTTTTCAAAAGACATGCAACACCCCAATCTTTTGAAGATATATGTGGTAATTCATAATAATTTCTTTCTTTTAGGAGTTCTATTTTTGTGGCTTGAGCTTCTTTTTACTCATCTGTAGCGGCATGTATAGAGAAATCAGCAGATTACATCATCATCACTTTCCCTGTACTCTTTTCACTATTTACAAGAGAGTATGCCTGAGAAACTGAAGTGTCATTACGTGTCAAAATATGCAGCCTGTTAATGTCATAAATATGTGATTTCTCTCAACCAATCACTTTTAGGTATTAGTATTTTCCTTACACTTCTATTTAACTGCTTCTAGATGATCAATCTCTTACTAGAATGACTGCAAAGTGGAGAAATAAAGTGCAAGAGACATCTCCCCCTGCTTTAATGTATTCACTTGCAGTTTAAGCTGATATTAAGCCCTAGCAACATCCAATGGCTAGAAGTCTCAGAAACTCCATCCACCACCTCCTTTGCTCTCTTCATCCATAAATAATTCCAACTAATGTGTAGATGCATAGAATTAATCAGACATGAATTCATCCATAAATAATTCTCTGATTCTTCTTGACTTTTTTGGGCAGACTAGATTCCACTTCTAGGCAGAAAATATCTTCAATTTCTTCTCCAAAATTCTTCTAAAAATCAGTTGATCAGGTGTCATGTTCTATGGTGATATAATATATTTTCAAAGAGAAAAGATGGTTTTCTCTGATACCAAGTTGACTTCCTTAATTCATATCTAAATGCAGAAACTAATATAAAAATTGATTGATTTCAAAGTAAATCAACTAGTAACAGTTCAGAAAAGAAGAGGAAGACGAATAGAAGAATAGAGAGAAATTGCAAGTTTGGGAGCAAAACTGAATGGGTCGTGCACCCCATTCTATTCATCATATGAGAGCAATTATAATTAAAAGAAAAAGTACAAATCTGCCCATAGTGAGTGGCAGCAATAAGAACAATATGAAAAAGATATAATAAGAAATAACAAAGCCCATTCATATAACAGCAGTATAGTAAAAATAGCCCACGAATGAGATTCTAAGAAGCTGGACTGAAGTAGCACAGACAGATGTTCCTAAAGAAGTTGTGAGAGCGGAGTGGAAGCCACCTGCACTGAACAAATTAAAACTAAACTTTGATGGGAGCTCCTTTGGCAACCTGGGAAGGTCAGGTATAGGAGGTGTTATTAGAAATCATCTAGGTGAGGTTGTGGCACTCTTCTCAGGACCAATAGGTATTGGTGACTCAATACAGGCTGAATCATTGGCTCTACTTCAAGGCTTAAAGATGGCTGAGCAGATTGGTACAACAGACTTAGAAATAGAAGGAGACTCACTGCTGGTCATTTCTTGGGCTAAAAACATTTCATCAAACCTTAGAAGCTCAAATTTATATACAGAGAAATTGACATAATTGCAAGGAAGTTCAACACAGTTCGGCTGGATCAAAAGGACTGCAAATGGGTTGGCAGGCACTCTAGAAAAACAGGGGGCAAATAGATCTACCTTGTACTGGGCAGAACTGTAAATGCTTTGTAGTGTTTGCAGATTGGGTTAATGCTTTCTGCAACCTATATCTATTGTATTTCAATATTTCTCTGTTATTAATAAAATCTTTTTGCTGATAAAAAAAAAATATGTGTGAAGTGCCATAATCTAATGGTTCAAGTTTATAGATAAAAACATTGAAGATTTGGGGTTCTATTGCAGGATGTTTGAGAACCGGGTACCGCACATGTTAGACAATGACTATACACCATACTCTGCACTCGATATTTTTGTGAAGGATCTGGTATGAAATAAAATTTAGTTTATGGTTTCCTTATCCTAGAAAAATATTGCATTATACAATATCCTGATCAGTACTTTCGTGGCAATAATTGTTTGCAGGGTATTGTGTCTCGTGAGTGTTCATCTCATAAAATCCCACTGAATATTTCAACTGTTGCTCACCAACTTTTTCTGTCAGGTAGAATTGACTAGATCATTGTAATCCTCTTCTTACTCAATTTCTCCTGCACCATTAGAGGATATGAATTAGATAAATGATGAATTATGTTCCTAATTAACTTCCAATAAAGTGGAGAATGTAGGTAACATAGTCCTATGGTTCAATTTAAGGTGATAGAATGTAAAGATGATTATGTAAATTTTATTTTCTCCCAAGTACTGTGTGTATTTCCACTGCAACCCATTACTTTTCTGCCAACATAATATTTTGGAGACCAGTTTGTGGTTAGCATCTATCAACTGTTTCTTTGAATGTCTACCTTGGTTCAAGTATGCTGTAAATGTGTAATATACTTCTATGTGTTTGTTCTAATGTAGTCTGGGTCTCCTTCCATGATCTTTCCAAGCTTACTTGCATACAACCATACATGTAATAATTAATTATGCTTCCACTGAGCAGGGTCTGCTGCTGGCTGGGGTCGGATTGATGATGCTGCTGTAGTTAAGGTATAAGCTTATATTGGTTTTGCAGAGTCATGTGCTTATATTTGAAAACTCAGATAGACAATCTTATATGAGTATGAATAAAATATTTAATATTATAATCCAGATCAAATTCTTCTTCATTGACAGTTAAGCATTATTATATTTCAGATACTTGCATGCATCTATTTAGGGTTGGATAAATATATAAATTTATATAATGGGCAGCAGAAAGATAAGAAGAAATCTATAAATATGTTATAAAATTTGAGTTCTTTAAACCACCAGAAACATGGTGGCGTGAGACACTTAACAAAGCCTGGATGTATTAAAGTGAGACAGAAGGCCACTTATGGTTGGTTGTAGTAACAGGCTCATCTGCAGTTTGGTCCTCTCTTTATAGGTGTATGAGACACTCACAGGAGTTAGAGTTGAAGGGAAGCTTCCAATTCTTAAGAAGGAAGATGTCTTCAAATCTCTCCCATTGGAGTGGCCACGGGATCCCATTGAAGATATCTGTAGATTGGGTCAGAATGCATCGAAGACTTTGGTTGTTCTTGATGATGACCCAACTGGAACCCAAACCGTTCATGACATTGAAGTCTTAACAGAGTGGTGAGTTTCTCTGGTTATACATGTTATGATCTGAACAGTTAGTCATTCCACTAGAGAGTAATTCCCTGAACATCATATTATTTAACCGTAATACATCTGTTCCTCCATAAGGTACATTTCAGGAGATTACTAACTGTATTATATTTTCTATGCAGGAACATTGAGTCACTTGTTGAACAGTTCAAGAAAAGATCAACTTGCTTTTTTATTTTGACTAATTCTCGATCTCTGAGTTCTGATAAGGTAAAGGGATTTTAATCAGAAAGGTCGACATCTCAATTTCCAAAGTTTGTACCTTGTCAGAGAAGGAAGACTCCAAAATTTGTTGCCTCCTCAGAGATGATTTTGGTTATTGGACTCTGATTTAGGGACAAATATATATTTTAACAAATATAATTATGGAACCATGCAATAGAGGCTGTTCATTTAGAAATTATACCCTAACCAAAACGTTGATTTCTCACAGGCTATTGAATTGATAAAAGAAATCTGCCAGAATTTGGACACTGCAGCTAAGTCTGTTAAAAATGTTGGCTATACCGTGGTTCTGAGAGGGGACTCTACACTCCGTGGTCACTTCCCAGAGGCAAGATCTTTGAGTCTCTAGTTGTGAATTAATGTATTCTGTTGTTTATGTTCAAACAGTTACTTCTTAACACCAAGATGGTTGCCTTTTTTCTTATTTTAGGAAGCAGATGCAGCTGTTTCAGTACTAGGAGAGATGGATGCATGGATTATTTGCCCCTTCTTTCTGCAAGGAGGGCGTTACACTATTGAAGATACACACTATGTGGCTGATTCTGACAGGTACCTCTGTTGGGCAATGTTGTATACTTGTTCAACCTGAAAAGTACTGACACTTCTATTGATGTGTTTGTGTTAGGCTTGTTCCTGCAGGAGAGACTGAGTTTGCTAAAGATGCTGCCTTCGGCTATAAATGTTCAAACCTTCGTGAGGTTTATTTTCTCTCTTCTATGCACATGCATATTATAGTGCTCCATGCTATATATGCCAATGGAAATTGGTCTAATGGTTATCTTATGGGTTTCAATGATAGTGGATTGAGGAGAAAACAAAAGGTCGGGTACCAGCCAGTTGCGTTGCATCTATTTCCATCCAGCTCTTAAGGAAAGGGGGACCAAGTTCTGTTTGTGATCATCTATGCAACTTGAAGAAGGTATATTGTTTATTTCTGCCTATGCATGTATTGTTCAGCACATCCATCTTTATATTGTTTGACTACTATCTATGATCATACCTTGATGCTTAAGTAAACATTTGGATGATCTTTGGTCTTTCTAGAAACCTCATTTAGAGATTTGTAGTAGTTATTTCTTCAGATTACCAGGGTACCAAAACCAAAAGTAAATTAGTTATTTAGATCTTAATTTCACTTTAGGTTCTATTTTTCTCATAGGTTGATGCTATAAAAGCTGTATCCAGTCCACCTCTCTCAAGACCCCAGATAGCTGGGACCAACATTGAGTAATGGCCCCATTTTCTGTTGATGCTATGATAGCAGGGACCTAAAATCTCAGAATGACAAGCTTATAAACATAGATTTGAATCTGAATGCATCCACTTTGTGCAATGATAATAATAAAGAGAAAGAAAAAAGAAGGCTGAAGGTTAGGCCCATATCCAGTCCACTCCTCCCAAGACCCTGGTTTGGCAGGATCAACATTGTGTAATGGCCCTTACAGATGCTCTAAAATCAATATAGATGCTGAAGATAGCCTTAGGGGTGCAAATCAGGTAGCCAATTTGAAGGATTTCCACTGCATCAGGCCCGGGCCCTCAGGATAGGCCCCTTCAAAATTTTATAAATGATGAACCCTTCTTTGCCCAAGTTATACTATTTGTCTTTTGATTTGTTGAATAAAATTGGAATATTGCCAATATTTTAGGTCAGTGCTTTTTATTCATTCTTTAGGTCAGTTCTGTATCGATTTTTCCAGAGTTTTGGCAAATATTTAAGGAACGTAGTTTTTTTTTCATGCTAGTTTGTATTTTTGTTTTTTTCCTTGACTTGATACTACTATCTTTTCCATAAAAATATAGGAGTTAAGCCTTTGTATCTCTGTTTCATTTTCCTTCTAATGAATTTAATGTGGCAAGAATGCCTTCTAAAGTTTTCTACGATCCTGAAGGTGTGGGAGATTTTAAAAGCTACTACTAATACTAGGAACAGCATTTCTAAAATTGAAAAGGGTTTCCTAATCAGGTGATATAGTGGGACTCTAGATCAGCCATCTAGTCATCTACTCAATCTCATTGTCCAGACCATCCTATATCCCACCTTGTATTGGCCTTTCCCCCATTGAAATTAGCTTTTCAATCATTCAATGTTATTATTTTCAATTTAGAAGCTGTCCACATAAAAGGTTTTTGTTACACATGGCCAAGACTTTTGAGCTGAAATTTCTACCATGGATAGAAGGTGAAGAGATGAGCATGTAGATCCTTCGTAATCCTTCTTGGCCACCACAAGCAATCTTTTCACATGTAAGATTTGAGTAATTCAGAGTTCTAGGTAAATGACTTGCAAACTATTTTCTTCTAAAATAGTTTGGATTCAGGTCTATTTTCACATGAAATGAGACATACCTTTCTTTGGGAAAGTTCCTCCAAGCTATTAAAAAAAACCTTAAAGATCCTTCTTTTCATTTTTGGAAATTTAACTTAAAGATTGTTGGTTTTAAACCAAGAATAAATAACTTCTTTTGGTTCATCTGTGTTCAAATCCATTCCAGAGACTTGTAGGGAGACTCTTATATTTGTATATGACCAGGCCTGATATTGCCTATGCAGTGGGTGTTCTTAGTCAGTTCATGCATAATCCTAAGACCAGAGTTTTCAAGGCACCAAGGCGAGGCTAGGCGACAGGGGGGCAACTTGTTGCCTAGTCGCCTAGGCGGGCGCGTAGGGTAGTTCCCTAGGTTCCATAACCATATTTCCTTAATAATTATTCATAATTTTCATAAGAGAAGTACAAATTTCATGTTTAAGTCTAGAAAATCAACATTTTATGAGAAGAAAAAGAACAAAGGAAAGAAAATTCAAAAAATATAGGGGAAGAACCCCTACTTTTGTTATAGGAATGAAAAAAAGAAACAGTGGAAGAAGAAGAAGATGTGGAAGAAGAAAATGTGTTGATTAGACAAAATTTTAAGTTCTTCCCTTGCTTATTGGTTCAGGTTTTGAAAATTTTGAGGGTTCAATCAAGGATCAAAATTTTGATATGATACGCCTTGTATCAGGTGTATTGTATTGTATCTTTGGAGTCTCGATACTTTCGGGGACCCTTTTTTTAAATAATATATATATATATATATATTTAAAATTGAAATTGACAACCAAAGAAGAAAAAAAACAGGGGGAGTATCGTAACAAGTACTAATACACCTCTACCCATCTACCGATACACAAAGGTGTATCAATACTTTGAACCATGGGTTCAGTACAGTAGTTAGCAATGTTTGCATTGATTAAACCCTAACAAATAAGAAAATAATAAAAAGAAATTAGTATATAAACACATAAAATGAATATTCTAGTTTAATAATTTCTATTTTATAATTATAATGTCAAAAAATTTAAAATATAAAAGTATTTTATAACCAGTGCACAAAACTGCTAGGCGACTGGGCGAGGCGAGCCTCTAAGGGCACCTTGTCGCCTAGGCGTCACCTTGACAACTATGCCTAAGACAATTCACTTTGAAGCTGCAGAAAGGATTCTTAGATACCTCAAGAAGTTCCCAAGAGCTAGTTTGCTGTTCCAGAAACATGGGCATCTAAAGGTTGAAGTGTATACAAATGCTGATTGGGTAGGGGTAGTCGATGACAGAAAGTCTACCAATGGGTATTGTACCTTTGTGGGAGGAAACTTAGTCAACTAGAAAAGCAAGAAGCAAAGTGTGGTGGTAGGTCCAGTGCTGAAGTGGAACACAGAGCTATGTCTCATGGAGTTGCTGAAATCATGTGGATAAAAAACCTGTTAGGTGAACTGGATTTTGTAGTTAACAAACCCGTGCCACTTTATTGTGACAATAAAGCAGCTATCAACATTGCTACTAACCTAGTCCTTCGTGATAAAACAAAACATATTGAAGTGGACAAGCATTTTATTAGAGAAAAGGGACGAAGAGGGAAAAACCGAGATGAAGAGAAGAGAAGAGAAGGGAAGAAGAGAGGAGAAAGAAAGAATAGAGAGAAAGGGGGTTCAGACTTGTTGTGTCTAGTCTACTGCCCCAAGTGCTATTTATATTAGGAAAAGAGGTTTAATGATAGGAATACCCCTGTCACTAGAAACAACAGAAAATAACATTTTAACAACAACATAATCAGAAGGAAACATATGAAGAGGTGGGACCACAAGTTGGTCAATCATTTTCTCTACACTCCCCCTCAAGTTGGGAAAATATATTTATCATTCCCAACTTGCTTAAATCTGTCTCAAGCTCGATTCTGTTGATGGCCTTGGTGAAGACATCAGCAAGCTACATATCAGTGGCAACATAAGGAAGGCATACTTATTGAGAGGCAACTTTCTCTTGGATGAACAATGTTAACGGTCGCCTAGTTATCACAATACAGCATTGAGGGTCTTTCAAACTCAATTCCCAATTCTGTAAGGAGTTTCAGCCATAATATTTCAGCAGCACGCCAACACCATTAGCCATAGACCTGTATTTGGCTTTAACACTGTAGCAAGCAACAACATTTCGTTTCTTGCTCCTCCAAGAGAATAGATTTTCTCCAACAAAGGCACAATACCCTAAGGTAGATCTCTTATCATCAATATAACCTGCCCAATTTGCATCAATGTATACTTCTATTTTCATATGTCCATTATTTTCAAAAAATATACCTCGGCCTGGACACCTTTTCAAGTAGGCTAAAATCCTTTCAACAGGGAGGTGAGAGGTCTTGGGAGAGTGCATGTACTGGATAACAACACTGACAGCATAAGAAATGTTAGGGTGAGTCAGGCATGGGTAGAGAAGCCTTCCTACAAGTCGTTGATGCATACCTTTATCTTCAAGCGGCTTACCATCTTTTGCTTTTATCTTATGATTTTGCTCAATGGGTGTACCTGCAGGCTTAGCTCCCAATTTTCATGTTTCTTCCATGAGATCAAGAACATACTTCCTCTGGGAAATAAAAATGCCATGCTTGGACCTTGCCACTTCAATCCCAAGGAAATACCTCGACTCACCTAGATCCTTTACTTCAAATTCTTGATTAAGCAGTTGCTTAAGAGAATTAATTTCATCAATATCACTTCCTGTCACAACAATGTCATCAACATACACAACTATGAGAGTCAAAGTAGATCCTTTCTTCTTAATGAAAAGAGTGTGGTTAGATTGGGCTTGAACATAGCCAAATCTTTCCAAAGCAAGTCTGAATCTATCAAACCATGCCATTGGAGATTGTTTTAGACCATACAATGCTTTCTTCAACTTTCAAACTTTGTTACCAATCTCTGCATCATAAAAACTAGGAGGCAACTCCATATACACCTCCTCCTACAAGTCACCATTTAGAAATGCATTTTTAACATCCATCTGAAATAATGGCCATGAGAAGTTAGCAACAAGAGACAATAAAACCTTGAGTGTGTTCACTTTTGCAACGGGTGCAAAGGTTTCCAAGTAATCTATACCATAAGTTGAGTGTATCCCTTAGCAACCAGTCTAGCTTTATATCTTTCAATTGTACCATCGGCATTATACTTTATTGTGAATATCCACCTACACCCAACAAGTTTCTTCCCTCTTGGCTAATCTACTAGTTCCAAAGTATCCACTTAGGGACAACTAGGGCTTCTTGCATAGTTCTAGGAATAGGAATGGCAGCAATGGAGGTTAAAAAGGACTTATATGATGATGAAAGGTGGTCATAAGAAAGGAAATGGGAGATACAATGGGCAGTGGATGAGGTACAACGATGCTTCCCCTTGCGTATTGCAATTGGGAGGTCAAGGTCATCTAAGGATGGTTGAGGCTCAGTAGTGGAGGTGGGTATATCACTAGTAGTAGGAGTGGGTAAGGAGGAGGCAATACCTGAATTTGGTGCCGCAAAGGAGACAATAAATGGCCTGGATTGATCATTATTGGAACCAACTTGCCTCCACCATCTTCTGTAAAACACCCTTAATTCTTTACACTTT